AAAACTTTACTTACACTCTCCATCGCTGTCTTCAGCAGGTACAGAGTCGTAATAAGGCTCACTTTCTATAATATTTTCAAAATCTAATTTGCTATCATCTCCATCTTCTAACTTATCGGTTACACTTTGTGTTTCTAAACTTTCTGTTTCTGAGCTTTTTAAATTGTCTTTTTCTTGATTAATACCAAATTGTATTGATTGATGATTGTTACTCCTGAAAAAAATTTAAATATGTTCGAGAAGAGTAATTTTCAATACTTAAAATAGAAAACATTTTAAGAAGTTAATAAATTTACCTTGTAAGGCCATTTGAATTTAATGTTTCATCTTCAGTCTTATGTAATAAATTTTTTGTAATTTTTCCATATGAAGATTCGCCAGATTTCCCTGTTGAATCTTCATTATCACTTTTATCTTCATCCGAAATTTTAGCTTCATTTTTTTGTGATTTTTCTACACTTTCTTTATCGATTTGAGATAATTCAGGCGAAGGCAATGTTGGTCCTATTCTTTTTTTAGAATTTTCATTTTCTAAACTATTTGAATCAATCGGTTTTATATTGCCATCTGGAATGGGTCTCATAAATGTTTTCGGTGGAGGCTTAGGAGGGCACTTAAGAGGCATATCCATTTTCTTCTTGCCACTGATTTCAATGACAGTGATAAAATTTAAAAGATTTGGCTGTGTTAAACTCCTTTGCCTACAATCAAGATTTCTTTTTTCACTTTCATCACCACTTTGTTTGGCATCTTCTACACTGAAAGATCTCTCCGTTCCACTTGGTAAAAAAGAAGAAGTTTTTTCTTTGACTGGAGCACTGTCGGCTAATTCATTAATACACAGATCAATCGAATTTTGACTGCAGGATTTTGAAAATTTATTTGGAATTTCAGTAAGTTCTGTTTGTTTGTCTAAATTGTCTTTTAAATTTAAATCATCTTCACCAGCAGCTTCCCCATCTCCTGCAGCTCTAGTCTTTTGTTTTTCAACATCAGCCAACAAATTTTCTAAATACTCGACATAAAATTCTTCTTTTTCTAATTCTTCCCTCAAAGATGTAACTTTTTGCCTGTAAAAAAAAAAATATTACAATATTAACAACTGTTCAAATTAAATCAAATTATAATATTATAAATTGAGTAAGCATTTTATTAAATTTAAATAATAATAAATTATGATTGAAATTTAAATTTAATTTTAATTTTAAGGGCATGAGAGCAAATAAATTTTCACATATTAATATGTCAATAACTAGTATGACTAATATATGAGTTTTGCAATAATCATTTATGTAATAACATTTAAATATTTAAAAATTTTACAACATTATATTCATTTTAATTAATTTCCAAACTAATTTTTTTTTAATAATAGCGTTTCTTTGGATCTGGGATCTAAGATTGAAATTATTAATAAAAATAAATAAAAATAAATAATTGATACAACGTTTTCAAAAGTTTCATGACTCATGCAACGAATTTTTTAAAATAACGTTTTCATTATAAATAACTGTTAGAGGAAAGTAAATTATTTATAATGTTTGCATTTGAATAATCTTATCTATAAAAAATCTCATCGATTGAATAATAGTTTACTTGCCTGTGCTTCATTAAATTTGAACGAACGTCTTCTTCCCAAGCTGCTGGTAATTCACTATCGGGAAATCTTTCCATCCAAACTTTTCGAAAATTACAATACACGCTCATTTTTAAAATAATTATAAAACTTTCACATTATTCCTTTAAAGTAAATTTAATTAATTTAGATAATCAACATCTTTACTGTCAAACGTAAACACTGATCAATGAAAGATTATATTAATGTGAATCTGTTACGGTCAGAGATGCCAACTTTAAAAATTTTTTTTCTCTCTCTCTTTCGTCAGAAAGTGTAACAAAATAAAATATCCGAGATAAAGTTTATCTGCTTATAGTAAAATATGCAGTTAAATTTTTATTTGACATAAATTATTATATTAATTGAATTAATATTTAACATCTGCCGGTATTTATTTTAAATAATTTATAATTGAATTTTTTTTTTTTTATCAATACGTACAAGTTTTGTAAATAAATAAAAAATAATATTTTTTTTCCTAATATCCTATCCATCAAATTACATAATTATCAATTTTTTTTTAAAATTTAGATTAAAAACCGTAATTGTCAAATACGAACGTTAGGATGAACGCAATTCAAGGAACGATTAAATTGCTAAAAAAGGCTGTTACGTTGTCTTCTACGCGATATAAAAGTACGGCCTTTAAACTGGTATACTCAGATTATGGTGATCCATCAAATGTCGTTCGCTTAGAAAAAGAAGAATTAGATTCTCCGGGACCAGGAAAAGTTAGTTGGTAATATTTAACAACATGCACAAATTTAGTAAATTTAATATAAGATGATTGGTTAATAGGTTCTTGTTAAAATGCTTGCTGCACCGATAAATCCCGCTGATATCAATACTATTCAAGGAGTATATCCCATAAAACCACCATTGCCTTCAGTTCCCGGTAATGAAGGAGTGGGAGAGGTGCTCGAAGTAGGTGAAGGAGTCAAGAATTTAAAAGTCGGTGATAAAGTTCTTCCGAAAGAAAGATCTTGGGGAACATGGAGATCTCATGCCATTGGTAATGCATCACAATTTTTAAAAATTCATTCCGATGTGAATCTAGTCGCTGCAGCTACCATGTCTGTCAATCCGTGTACTGCATATAGAATGTTAAAAGATTTTGTCGAGTTAGAAGAAAAAGATGTAGTCATACAAAATGGAGCCAATAGTGCCTGTGGTCAAAGTGTAATTCAATTTTGCAAAATTTGGGGTTACATAACTGTAAATGTCGTAAGAAATAGAACAGAAATAGAATCGTTGAAGAATCAGTTAAAGTCGTTGGGTGCAGATTATGTTTTAACAGAAGAAGAAGTTGCCACGACACAAATATTTAAAAAGGGATTAAAAAAGTAAGATAATTAAATGATTTTCCTTTTTTTTTTTTTTTTTTTTAAACACTGCCTCTCAACAAAAATCGAATTAAATTTTAGGCCTAAACTTGGTTTAAACTGTGTCGGTGGTAAAAATGCAACTGAAATGCTAAGACATTTAGATAAAAAAGGTGTTATGGTTACCTATGGAGGAATGTCAAGAGAACCAGTTACCATACCGACATCAGCTTTAATATTTAAAGATATTTCATTAAAAGGATTTTGGATGACGAGATGGATTGAAGAAAATTCAGGTTCATCCGAGCACACTGTTATGCTCTCTGAAATAGCAACGTTTAGTAAAAATGGTAAATGGCAACCGCCAGCTTTTGAATTGATGCCTTTGGACAATTACAAAGATGTTTTAGCCAAAGCAATGCACGTTTCTGGAAAAGCTGGAAAAAAATTTATATTCGATTTTAGACAAATCTCAAACAATGAAGAACAATAATTTTAAATAAATAAAAACAAACATCTCATAGAGTAGAGTTTTTTTAAAATACTTTTTTAATTTTATTTATAATTATCCTTCTTAATATACTTTAAACTCCCTTGCTGAGTCTTGTTGTTGTCATTATTTTTATTTATTTTTTTGTTATGAAAGGAATTCGAATGAGAAAAAAAAACTTTTTTTTTTTTTTTTTTTAATATTTAGATTGTTCTGTATTGTTTGCCCGAGAAAATTCTCTATTTACAGTAAGAATTCAACATTTTGCTTTATACTTAAATTATTTTTAGTAAAAGATACACAATGTGAAGACTAAAACAAAGTTAAATTGTTTTATTATCATCATTATCATTATTATGAACAAATTAACTTTACAACATCAGAAAATACAATACAAGGTAAAACACTCTGGATAATTTCCAGTAGGATGAGGGAGAAAACAGAGTAGGGAGGAGGATGAGGAAGGGAAAGGATAGGGAATTCTTTATTATTATCATTATTATTTACAAAATTATGTTAAAAGGAAGGAAGGAAAAAAGGATCCAGTTTGTGTTTGTGTGTGAATTTATTTGTTGAGTCTTCAGTCAAGCCCAGATTTCCCTGAGCTTTTTTTTTTTTTTTTTTTAACTTTTTTTTTTTTTAATTTTTTTCTTCTTTTTCTCCTAATTTATCAACTAATTTATACAATCAAAAACTTCAAATTATTTTAATTATTATTATTATTATTATTATTATAATTACATTTTTTTATTATTAATTATTATTATCAACATCAACATCATCATCATCATCATCATTAATAATATTAATATTATCATTTAATTTAATTTAATTTTAATTTTTTTTTTTTTCCTCTTATCAATTTTACATAATTTTATATTTTATTGTGGCAAATTTTTGTTTGTTTGTTTGTTTGTAGTGTACAAGAAAACAAATTTTTGTTTTGAAATAAAATTCAGTCTTTCGCATATTTCGCTTTTATTTCCTGTTTATTATTATTATTATTATTATTATTGGAAAAAGGAAGTAGTTCAAAAAAAGAAAAAGAATAATAATAATAACGGACGGAGGACGGCATGTTTTTTTCCACCACAATCTATCATCATCATCATCATCATCGTAATTAATAATAATAATAATTTTTAATTTTCTTCTTATTTTTTATTTTTTTATAACCTTATTAAATGTATAAAATAATAATAATAATAATAATAATAATAATAATAATAATATATAAGTAGTATATTTATCATATATACGTACATATATATATATATACATACACATACATATATATATATATTTATATAATCTTTTATGAGATCATCATCATCATCATCATTTTTTTTTATCATTTTATCATTATTATTATATTTAAAATTTATTTATATTTATATAATATATATATATATATATATGTATATAATATTACAAAAAAATGAGCAATATATACATAATAAAAAGATTAGCAATTAGATTTTCTTTCTTTTTCTTTTTCTTTCTCCTTCTTTTTTTTTATGTAGGTAACTGAAATAGTCATTTATCATTATCATTATCGTTATTATTATTATTATTATTTAAAAAAAAAAATTAATCATTATTATTATTATTATTATTATTATTAAAAATAAAAAAAATAAAAAAAAACTTGATGTAGCGGAATATGCGAATGATTTATATATATATAACAAGAATAGGAATGAAAAGGGAGGAAAAGGAGGAGGAGGAGGAGGAGGGACAGGACAACAGGAGGACACTTACATTATATCCATCCTCCTTTCGAACTTGTTTAGGAAACGTTTGTTTGTTTGTTTTGTTTGTTTTTTCAACCGACCGCGGGGTACGCAAACCCAACAACAACAACAACCATCTGGCATAATGTAAAATACATTAAAGGAAGGTTCATTTTTTTCCCGTTAGATAGCACCGGACGATAGCTCCTCCCCTCCCCTCCCTCCTCCGAACGATGTTAAAATAATAATGGCCGACCGATGGTGACGACACGATGACGTCATGATGACGACAACGAGAACGACGACGACGACAATAATAAAACTAAGATAAAATAAAAAAAAAAAAAACTCTCTCGTATAAATACTAAATTAATATAAAATAAAATAAAATAAAATTTAAAAAAAAAAAAAAATTAGCAAACGTTTTATGTATAACAAATATTTCCAATCAATCAATCAATCAATCAATCAATCATTATTCTCGTCTTCTATATATATGACTTTGTTTTCCTTTTTAAAAAATTATTAAAAAACAATTTTTTTTTTTTTTTTTTTTTTTTTTGGACGCCTGTATAAAGATGACCAACCTTAAACGTTTTACTTTATGCCAATTATCATTATCATTATCATTATTATTATTATTATTGCGTAAGCGTTTTAATTGTCATTGGGTCTTGTCTCTTGCAAAAGAAACTCGATGAGAAATTTCTTTTCTTTCTTTCTTTCTTTCTTTCTCTTTTTTGTTTACGATATGAAAAGGCATTGTTGCATGAAATTTAAAATAAGAAGAAAGAAAAAAAGAAAGAAAAAGGGAATCAAATCCTCCCTTTTTACAAAAAATCAGGTTAATTAAACTCTTTCTCTTTCTATCTCTTTCTCTCTCTCTCTCTCTCTCTCATCATTTTTTCTTTTTCTTTTTTTGACTAGAAGAAACGAATTTTTTTTTAAGCAACGCCTCACATTCATATCAAAAGATAAAAAAAAAAAAAGAAAAGAAAAGAAAAAAACGGGGAGGAAGGGGGGGGTCGATCGAAGTCTGGATTGTCGCTTGTTATTAATTATAAACAAAATGAAAATTTCATTTCGTTTTTTTTTTTTTTTTTTTAATATGAAATTCGCGTCTTCGGGAAATTAATTTTCCTTTTTCTTTTTCCTTTTTTACACGGTGGCAATGACGATGACTAAATGAGGTATTTCTTGCATTCGATGAAGAAGATCCGGAGCATTTCTCGCTAAATTTTCATTGGCGAATTCGCAAGATGGAAATATGTGCACGACGTAAGCCGCCTGATAAATACAAAAAATGGTGGGGTATATGAGTGAAACGGAAACGGAACCGGAAGCGCGAGAGGGCGCGGGGGCGCGCGCGCGCGCGCGCTAAAAACTACATTTTGCTACCGTTTAAAAAATTTGCTTACCTGCTGCGATCCGGGATGTGCTATGTTGACGATTCCGGCGGCTTGTTTTTGTTGCAAGTACGTAATGAATCCCGTTTGCAAATTGGTACTTTGCTGCAATACATCCATGTGATCTCGACCGCATGGCAATGCCAATAGCATGCAATGCTCGTTATCCATCTGGAAAACAAGAATTTTTTAATTTTCCTTTCTTTTTGAATATTTTTTTGTTTTAAAAAAAGAAAAGAAAAAGAAACTTACCTGCATTTTTCTAGCAACACCTTCCAATTGTGTTTGTTCCAGTCTCATACGTTGAGCTATGCGAAGCGGAGGAGTGGATCCATCGGAATTGCACGGTAGCGAATCCCTCGCCACGTGTGGATTACCAAACACGAAATGCATTTGAACCGCGGATTGATCATTTTTCAAAGCCAACAATCCCTGCCACATGATGGGATACCTCTGAAATTTCAAAAAAATTTTTTTTTTTTAAATTACTAATCGATTCAGCACGAAAAACTTCGTTTCCAGTTTCAACCTCTTTCACCGACCTGCAATAGCATCAAAAGTGAATCCGCTTGAGGAGGTACTTGGGAAGCATGAGGTGGAGTCGCTATTTGAAGTCTCGGCTGTCCGGGAGCATCTGGAGTTTGATGTATGTGACGACCGGCGTGCAAATGAGCCGGAGGTGGGTCTTCGTAATATCGAGAGTACTGTTGACGGCCCATGTACACCGTGGGAGAATCCGTCGCTCTTTGATTACGTAATTCGAGCGGAGGACTCCTTCCCATGTCTCCCGCTCCTCTCTCTCTTTCTCTCTCTTCCAGTTTTCCCTGTAACGAAGATGTCAACTGGTACGGAGAGGGAAGCATTTCTTGAGCTCGAAGGTATTGTTGATACATTAACTGAGGATGAACAAATGGAGGATGCCCTATGTGACTCATATTAATTCCTTCACCCTAAAAAGAAAAAGAAAAAAAAAAAAAAAAAAAAAAACGATGATTACACGGGGACACAATCATAATCAATTTCGGAAATGAATGAAAAAAAAAAATTTAACCGAATAAATAACCAACTAAATATAATTTTACCAACCTGTTGATGTGCTGGAGGAGGACTTTGCAAATTTTGAGTAGGAGTTTGCTGCATCCAGGCAAACACAAAAAATTTTTATTGCAATTATAAATTTATTTGCTTTAAAATAAATATTTAAAAAAAAAAAGAATAGCAAACATAAAATAGCTTTAAGTAGTTTTACAATAAAGCCTTTTTTTTGGTATATTTTACCAAAATTATAAAAATATTTTCATTTGCTATTAGTAAAAAAAAAAAAAAAAAAAAAAAAAACTCAAAATACAAAAAAAAAAAAAAAAAAATGAATAAAATTACTTACCAAAGTAGCTTCGTAAGGTGGCAACGTCATTCCTCGAGGGCTAGCTCCGGCTCCTTTAGGTGGATCGACCAAAGCTCTCGAACTTGATGCTCCCGTTACGATGGGTTGCTGACTCGTCAAATGCGGAGCCCTTGGCGGAGGACTAGCAACGGCTCCGGTCATTGGATGAAGTTCGTGAGAAGGAGGAGTTGTTTTGACGACTCGCGGAGGAGAACTTGCAACAGCTCCGGTCAATATTTGATTTTGAGGCGACATTTTTATGTGTTTAGGATTTTGATACAATTGTTTATTGGGAGAAGTTAAAATGGAGACGCCTTTCGAACAAAAACTCGTTTTGTTTGCCGTCGGAGTTTTCGAAATGGGTCGAAGGATTTTCCGCGATTCGGGAATACTCGCAGTCCTGCTTCCGTCGTTATATTCTACTCTGTTTATGTCGGGATAAATTTTAGCCTGTTCAACGTGGCAAATCTTTTGCTTTGACAATTCAATCGGATACGGGTGGATTTTGTTTATTTCTAAATCAGGTTTATTGGATTCCTGATCCATCATTTGTTCTCCGGCAACTTTTTTCATCATTTCCACCGGGAGCCGTGTTACCGGCTCTTGCATTCTCGCTTGCGGTGTTGTAGGAGGAGTTGGCGGACGATTCATAAACACCGGATTGACTTTGTTGCTTTCTCCATAGTTTTGAACTTTAATAACGGCTTGCTGTAAGAAGACGTAAACAAAAGAACATCAAAAAAAACAGTTCTGAGACACCCGACGAAAAATAAAAAGTATTTTTAAAAAAATACCTTGAGCGTTTCGTGAGCTAACCAATGACTGGCCAACCCTTCGGTCACTATCGGTAAAGCCTCCGTTTTTGATGGTGGCGGAGGAGGAGTTGGTGGAGCTATAGGCGGTACGTTAGCCACCGGAACGTAGTTTCCTTCTTCTTTTGCTCTCATTACAATCAACATTCCTGTGACTGGATCAATTAAAGTCGTTGGTTCTTCATCACTTGTTTCACCCTCAGGTTCTTGTTCATCTTTAGCCGTCGATACCTGTAATGAGAAAACATTATTTTTTTAAAACTACCATTTTAAAAAAACCTTAAATGTTTTAACAACATCTACAATTAACAAAATTATATTTTACCATTTTTGTCGTCGGTGTCATTTCTTTTTCTTCGTTGAACGACGAGTCCGATGATTTGATTACACCAACATTTTCTTCTTTTGCTTCGTCATCCGTCGAAGTGCATCCCGTGGATTTTTTAGCAGCTCTTGTAGCAATTTTTTTAATTGGCAAAGTGGGACCCGGTTTGTTCACTTGCCTCAAAGAGCGACGGGGTGAAGTTGCGTTTCGATTCGTACCATTTCTTACGACATCTTCTATGACGTCATCCACTGTATTTCGGTTTCCGTCTTTTTCTTGCAAACGTCGAGATTTCCTTGTATTCATCAAAACGTTGCCATCTTTTTCAGGAGACTTATGTTCAGGACTTTTAGATGGAAGTGCCTCTTTCGGACTCTTGTTGGCTGCTGTGGGTACCTTCGGAGCCGTTGTCGGTTGATCTTTGCTACTATTGGGACTTTTAATAGTGAGTATTAACCTGGGCCTGTCTTTATCATCATTCGCATCATCATCAGACTCATCGTGAAATTCGTAAATATCTTTTGATTGCTTTTTCTCCGAATCGTTTCCTGATCTTCCCATTTTTTGAGCTTTCCCTCCGCGTCTTCCACACAATACTTCTGTTTTATTTCCATTACTGTTTCTTCCCTTGCGACAAGAAGTTCCACCCCTGTTTCCTTTCTTCCTGCCTTTTCTTGACGCGACAGAATTAACTTGTTTATTTTCTTCTTCTGAAGATAGTAATTTGAGAGAATCGTCTAAATTAACAGAAGAAGCATCAGACTTGTCACACGCGTCTGCATTTTCCACGGCGCCATCATCTGATTTCAAGCTGCATAAAGAATCTACTTTCTTAATAACGGATTCATTGTTGTGATCTTTTATTTCCAAAGGAACGTTGGTAATTATATGCGTCTGTTGTTCTTTCAAATAAGAAATGGGTTGGTCTCGATCGACGTGTTTCTCCATAGAATCCATTTCTGACAACAATTTGGATTTTTCATTTTCGTCTTTTTCACTCTCTTTATCCTCGGAATGAATTGCCTCTGAATCAGTTTCTAAATTCATAACATCTTCCGATGTATCATCTAATTTACCTGCTTCTTCTGTGTGTTTGGTTTCGATAACCGTTGTGAGCCTCGTCAAATTTGCTACCGTCGATTTACTCTCTTCAACGAGATTGGTTTCGGAAACGGATTCATCCGTTGCACGTGTGTTATGATGGGAAGAATAGCCTATTATTTTCGGCGTGGAAATCACATTCTGTTGAATGACGTTGTGACAATTCAAAGGTAAACTTTTTGTTTCCGATATATTCGAGTGAACTGATATAACGGAAGTAATTCCAGAACACGGAACAGATGTACACGTGCTACGAGAAGTGGAAACAACGTTTACAACGTCAGCATTACTAACGTTTCGAGTGTATCCCTGAGATGACCCAGGAATATGTGAAGAGCGAGGAACTACGGAAATCACGGATGTAGACGGTGATTCTTCTGACGTCACGGTGTTAAATGAAGCTGTAGATGTCGTAGATGACTGAATTAAGGGGGGCCCAGAAACTGGTAACGACGTTGTTATAGTACAGTGATTCGAGTTCATTTGTTCTGACAAAGTGAGAGCAGGCATATCATTTGGAGTTTTCTGATAGTTTACATTTGAATCCACTACTTTTACCACGGAACCTTGAGTCGGTAGCAACCTCGTTGGCACTTGTCTAGAAACTTGATGAAGAATAATTTTTTGAGGTATTACGTGGCTTGGTATGTGTTGAGAACTAACAACGGTTGCCGTAGTTGTAAGCCTTGGAGCAGACAATGATTCTGTATTACAAGAAGTTGCAAGTTTGACAGGAGTATTAAAAGACGAAGTAACTGGAGTCAGAGTAGGAGGAATCGATGACTGCGTAGGTATTGTTGAAGTTGAAGAAATCGTAAACGTTTTTCTAGGGATTTGAGGAGTAGAATGCGATTCGCTTACGGCAATCGAAGGTTTTATAGGGGTAAGCACCAAAGTTTGAGGTGTGCTACTTGTGGGAAGCGAAATTACGGGTCTTACGACAGACAGATTGGCCGAGGGTTTCGGCGCAGAAATCGGAATCGATTTTGCCACCGGTACCAAGGGCGGAGGATGCAAAAGCAATCGATTTTCCACGAATATTCTGTCCGTGTTATTTATCGAAGAAATAGGCTCAATTGTTGGCGGTTCATCTTTGTAGAATTTGGGTGAAGCGGGTTTCAACACAGGTGGCTTCAAGTCGATATCTTTATCCTTAATTTCACTCTCTGGATTTTGGTAACCCAGCAAAGTATCTGGAGATGATGGATCGACAATGGGAACTTCCATTTCTTCTCTCGAATTTCTAGTTGTGTCTTTTCTAGGAAACTCTGCGGTTTTCGATTCCACAACGTAAGGTTGTTGAATATCAGGAGTTTTAGGAGGTTGAGACAAATCCAAATCTGGAGTTCGAGGAAGAGACTCGAAGCGTAAGCCGTTAAAATGTTCGTCAGATTCATCGGCGTCCGTATCAATTTGTAAACCTGATTCAGACTGAGGAGTATCAGGTTTGCCTTCATTTAAACTTTGAACAGCTTGGCGCATTTCCTCTTCGTCGTGCGGTTCAGGTTCAGACTCTACAGGAGAGTTACCCTCGAAGCAAGACGAATAAGTAAACGTTTCGCCAAGTAAAGCAGCAACAGCATCTTCCGTTTCTTCCTGAGATATAACCGTCCTTTCTTTATTTTCTTCTCTTTTTTCTAAAGACATTTCATTGGAATCTTTACTTTCTATTTTAGGCTCGACTTTAGCAACATCTAATAAAGCGATACTCTGAACGGCTGATTCGTGCGCTTTCTCATCTATTTCGTATCCGAAACCGTGAATATTTTTTTCTGGTTCAATAGGACTTAAATCCATTTTCGGAGATAATACGGGTGAGGAAATCGGTTCTTGCTTCACGGGGGACGGAGAAACCGGAATATCAATCAACGAAGGCAACACAGGTGAAATGTGAGCAACATTTACGGAAGATGTGTTTTCCAACTTCGTTTCCAACAAGGGTGCGGATGAGTCGGGCTTTTCGGAGAAGTTATGATGGTGATGGTGATGGTGGTGGTGGTGATGATGAGAATGCCGGCTTGATTTTTCGTCTTTGGATCTTTTCCTCTTTTTCTTTTTACTGACTTTCACTTTTTCTTCGCCGAAATCTTCATTACTATCGCAATATTTGTTCACGTCTTCGGAACTCCGACGAGACGGTGGCGATGCCAACATTTTTTCCAATGCTCGCCCCGCTTCCAATAATTCTTCACTGTGCTCTCTGACCTTTTTATCTTTTTTCTTTTTTTCCTTCGTCTTTTTAGGTTTATCCATTAACACGTGGTGTTCGGTTGCATCCAAATTTGAATCCGAATCGGATCCGTATACTTGAGCCACTTGCCACTTGGAGGAATTTCCCTTTTCTCTATTGACTTCCGGTTTCGCGATCAATCGGTTGTCGTTGGAATCATCTGAAAAATTGTCGAAAACTTCACTGTATTTACGATCTTCGACTTTAGGCGTTACTCCGTAAAGGGAATTCCCCTTTAACCCTTTACTTTTCTTGTGTTTAAACATTTCTTCCGAAATATCATTGTGTTGAATGGATTTTCGTCTCTCTTGTTTTTCCAACTTTCCACATTTCGAATCTCCCTGCTCTCCTTTGGCACTCGAATTGTATTCTTCTTCGGTTATAATTTTAGAGTCGCATTCTATTGACTTTTGCCTTTTGTCCTTTTTCTTAGATTTCTTTCTCTCTCCCTTATCCGATGTTTTTCCCATTAAAATGTAACTAGGCTCACCTTCGCTTACGCACTCTGTGAGTGTTCTTTTCTTGCTTTTACTCTCGTAACAGAACCTATCGGTCGAACTGTCCAACGATAATCTAACTTTATTTTTATTGTCTATTTTTTCAGGTTTGGAACTCGTTTGAAAGTTTTCCTTCGAAGATGAAATGGGTTTTTTGACGCTTTCCTCTTCGGACAATTCAAAAACGTTTTTCGATTTCGATTTCACGTTTAACTTGCGATGATGTTTTTCTTCATTTTCCGTGTAACCCACGTCGCTTTCGTCCGAAAACACGTCCGAATTGAGTACTCCGCTTTTTATTTTGATTCCTTCATCGTCAGATGTGTCGTATGATTTTTTCAAACGTCGACTTTCGCCATCCCATGATTCCGATATCTTTTTCTCTCTCTTGCTGATGCCTTCATCCTCGCTGCTAAGCCTGGAAAACGATCTCCTCGGCAATCTCCCAATTTGCGAGGAGTCGGAATCAGAATCGTCATCCCAAGAAGTGCTCCTCTTTTTTTCTTCTCGTTTCGCTCTCGATTGCTTCAACTGATTAAATTTTTCCTTGAGTTTCACTTGTCTTTTTTCCTCCTCCTGCTTCTGCATGTTTTTACACGATCTGGCTTTCACCTTATCGTACATGGAAATATAAGCAGGTTCGTCTAACACCACGTCGAAAATAGAATGTTTCTTTGGTTCCGAATCAGAATCACTATCCGTATCATGTCCATTTTCTTTCTTCGACTCGCTTTTCGTCTTTTCTTTCGATCGTTGTTTTCCTTCGGATGTTTCCTCCTCTCTTCTTTTCTCGCTGCTACTTTTCCTGTCTTTTTTCTGAAATTTTTTATCTTCGACGAGGGACTCCGTACTCCCGAACTCGTGTTTGAATGATTTTTTTCTCTCCTTGGATTCTTTTTTACCATGGCTAGTATGTTTTCGTTCGTTTTCCGTCACTTCAAAACTTTTTTCATTTTCTCTACTACTCCTTCCTCCTCCTTGAACTTCACTTGAAGTTTTCGAAACATCCTCCAATTTCATTTGAATTTTTTTACCATCTTTCTTTTTATCAATGTTTTCACATAATGATTTTTTCCTCTCGGAATCTTCTTTTCTTTTATTATAATCTTGAGTCCTGGAATCTCCCGATTTATGAACAGACGACGACGACGACGACGACGACGATTCGGCCGTTGAAGATTTGTATTTGTACTCGTTATTTGATTTTGTTTCCGATTTGGTTTCAACTTTTATGATTTTATTATTGCTCGAAGAAGAACTCAAAATAGTGTTAACGTTACTCTTACATTCTTTGGAATCCCTTCTCTTGTGCTCCGTTTTAACTTTTTTAGATTCCTCCGAATTGTTTTCAATTCCATCTTGCGAACTCATTCGCCTTTTATTACCTATGCTAATAGGCTGATTTCCACTTCTATCTTTCTTTTTCCCATCAACATCCACGCTCTCTTTTTTCTTTTCATCCACGCCACTTTTTTTATGCCTTTCCAAAGAATAAAAATCCTTTCTTTTTTCTAATAATTCCTTTTCCCTTTTCTTCTCTTTTTCCTTTTCCTTTTCCTTTTCTTTTTCTTCCTCTTTTCTCTTGACTCTTTCCATATCTTGCGGTTTCTTATCCAAACCGACATCTTTTCTCCTATCCAAAACATCGAACTGATCCTTTTTTCTATCCTTTTCCGATTCGTGTTCTTTCCTTTTTTCCCTTTCAATCACCTCCATGGACTCTCTGTCTTTTTTTCTTTCCGACTCCACCTCACGATCTTTTTTCCTCTCTTTATCAACATTTTCCGGCATGTCTTTTTCCCTGTGCTTATCTCTCACGCCAGACTTTTCCTTTTCTTTATCCCCAGAAATTTTATCTTTAATTTTGTCTTTTTCACTTTCCCTACAAACAATCCTATCCTCTTTGACAAACATACTTTTGTTGTTGTCCTTTTCCTTTGTTGAACATTTATTTAATTTATCATTAGCATCTCCGCTATTCTCTCTATCCCGGATATGAAAATTACCTAATTCATCTTTATGTACAGAAGATGATGATTTACACGATAACGATTTATCGGCATCATTTAAACATTTAACACTATTTATTGAGATCTTTGAAGCAATTGAACCACCCGTTTTCACCGAGGAACCATTTGTATTTGTTTTCATCGCGGCTCCCGATTTGATTGAATCATGAATCGAAGAGCTCCGAGAAGACTCTTCCGATTCCGCTAATATCACATTCGCTGTTTTACTTTGAGAAATATTCGATTTTATTAAACTACTACTATCTACCTTCTTTGTACTTTCACAGTTCTGATTGGTTGCATTTGTTTCTGTCAATTCTTTTATTTCTAAATTTGAATTATTATCACTGGAATTAAAAACACTACCACGGCTGATGATGCTCTCGGAATTTATTTTGTTCTTTTTGTTCGCGGTTTGATTTTCAGAAGCACTACTATCCGACGAATACGCCACACCACTTATTATTTCGTCGCTAGCATCAATCGTAATTTTTGGTTGCAAATCTGTAGTCTCAGTTTTTAATAATAATAATTTATTTGACGATGAAGAACTACTATCACTATTTTTCGTATTAACGTCTTCCGATTTACCGACACTGTTGTTGTTGTTGTTGTTGTTCATCGACCGATTTGTTTTTGCAGAGTCAGAATCCGTTCTGTCCTTGCACTCTTCATCATCTTTGCTAAAAACATCGTCTTTCTTAAAATATACATTCTCATTATTAATGCACTCTCTTTTGTCGGTGTTGACATTGACACTGTTAACGCTTCTATTATTTTCGTTGTTATTGATATAATTATTATTATTATTATTACTGCTATTGCTGTTATGATTATTATTATTATTATTATTATTATTTTTAGAACTAATGTTTGTGGAATTGTTTGATTTGATGTTTGGATTGCAATTACCACTTTTGTTATTAACGTTAGTGCTACTATTACTATTACTGCTACTGCTATTGCCTAATACATTGAGTTTCTGAGAATTTGCTTCGTTTTTAATTACATCAACACCGTCACTACTTTTAACTATTATCCTTTGTGAAAGCACTGAAGTAGTGGTAGTTAAGGAATTTGGTTTTTCTATTCTAGGATCCACTGATTTTTGAGCAGGAATGTCTATTTTTTGCGTCACAAGATCCGTTAATTTCGAAACATTTTGTCTTTGGGGCGGCGCTCCTTCAGAAGTTTTATTTTGAAGTTCTCTGAACCTTTGGGCGAAGCCACCGGAAATCAAACTATCCTTAGATGTTGATGATTCGTTACTTTTCGTTATGCCCAACCAGGATTCAGCTTTTTGAACTGAAAATTCCACACTTTTTGAAATCGGCCTGGAAGCAGTCGTTGGAGGCGGAGAGGAACCTGCCGTGGTTGTCGCAACACTTGTGGTAGGCTGCACCGGTGGATGAGAAGGAAACGGATACTGGAGGCCTTTAGCAGCTGGACACGGTGACAACAAAGCTCCAGACGGAGAATTTAAAGGAGACACTTTAACTGAAAGATTAGAGATATACGATGGATTACGCGGATCACCCGGAACAAATCTTTGAACGTCTAATCCCACTGATCGCGGATACGAAGAAAAATCACGAGGTTCGTATTTTTCACCGAAATTTTCTAATCTTTTAGAGTCTTCGTCAAAAACACTTGGCTTGGCGAGTACGGATTTCACTATGTCCGACGGTTGTAATTCTCGAACGTCCACATCTAATAAGCGGTGCTTTGGTTTTGTAGGAGGTTGAAGAGTTCTCCCGGTCCATTTTTCATACTTTTCATCGAGTGAACGAATTCTTTCTTCTAAGGTGGGCGATTGAGGAGATATCTCTGATGAAGAAGTCGTAGACGATGGAGAAGGAGGACGAACAGGTGAAGCAGGTGGCGCTTGCTGCACGGTCGTTGTTTGAGGCAACGATGCAGTTGGAGTACAAGCTGACTTTGCATTTGAAAAACAATGAGCAGCAAATTGTGGAAGAGGTAAAGATAAAGGTTCTTCCGGTCTTTCTCGTGGCATGCGTCTCGGTTCTTGGGGTTGAATGTTATCCGGCTTTTCATCGAATAAAGGAGTTCCTGCTCTTCTTTCATCCCCCGAATGATGATGATGATGTTGCTTCCTTCTTTCATCTTCACTTGTACTTCCCGTTTTCCTTCGTTTGCACAGAGGAGCCGGCCCCTCTCCCGTAGATTTCTGATGAGATGATAATCGCCTTCGATGATTATGTGTAGTTACAACTAAACCTTGATCCGCAGCCGTTACCGATCTAAGAGGCCTATCTAACTGATCGAGTAAGTGCTGTAAGTGATTTCGTTCCTTATGAAGATGCCTTAAATCCGCGGGTTCATTTGATCCGTACTCATCGTGATCACTACTCGGACTTAATTCTTCGTAGCTCTTATACCTTGGAGAATCGTAAACCTCGTGCCTACGAGGAGTTCGTCCACCCGAGCTCCGTGAATAAGAACTCGAACGAATTCGCGCCGGCTCGTATCGAAACCGGGAAGAATCGTATCGAGAACATAGAATATCCCTTTCAGATCTCGAAGAATCAAACGAACTCCAATTGTTATCCCGTCCCTGAATGTCGATTCTTTCGTAAAAGGCTTCCTGGCATTCTCGCGAAGCGAAATCTATTTGAATGCGATTACCCCTCAATGGAACTCCTCTCATTTCTTTCACGGCGGCAGCAGCGGCAGAAACTTGCTCGTAGAAAATGAGCGCTTGTCCTCTTTCTCTATCTATCACTACGTGGGATACCGGCCCGAACTTACGAAATTGTAAATCTAAATATTTGTCCGACACTTGTTCAGCCACTCCCGCAATCCACACACAACTACTAGCCATCGATTTACCGAATCCTAACTTTAACCTGGATTCTCCCAAAAGTTCGCCATCTAATGTCCGCATGGCTTGAACTACACTACCGATATCTGCATATTGGCAGAAGGCGTAAGAAGAAGTCACACCTGTTTGCTTTTTAATGTCTATTTCCTATTAATAAGATGAAAAAAAAGAAAAGAAAACTGTAAGATTGCATGTTCAAAAAACACCAAAGTAATTCATTAAATGAAAACGAATTTACTAAGCTACTTACAATGATTTCTCCAAACTGATCGAAATGCTGTCGAATATCTCCAGCGGTCACATCCTTCTCGAGGTTTCCTATAAACAAAGTTCGAGTCGCTTTCGGATGATACTCATCCAATTCAGTATCGTAGGGACGAGCTTCGTTATCTTCTACGTCGTAACCGTGATAAGGAGCCACGTCGATCTTACAACCGAAAAACAATTTATCCTGAGAAACTTCAATTGCTTTTTCCACATCTTCCGGTTTCTTAAAACATACTAATGCATATCTTTCATTTGCTGTTCCCACTACTTTCACCCACGTGACTTTCCCATGTTTTTTGTACTCGTGAAAAAGACCATCTTTTAACGAAGTATCTGAAAATAATAATAATAATAATAATAATAATAATAATACACATTATTTATGACGATCACGGTTTTATTTACATGGATTATATAGTAAAATTTGTCAATTTAAAAAAAATCACGTTCTCAACTATATATATATATATATATATATATATATATATATATATATATATATATATAAAATATTTATGAGTGAATATTGAGTATATTATTAATAGTTAGTATTTGGTAAACTGCCCACAAAGATTCACTTTTTAATTTTTTTTTTTTTTTTTTTTTTCAAAAACTAACATGAATGATATAGAGAGAGATAGAGAGAGGTTTCAGTTAGATACGGTTGACCAAAACGATGGGGAAAAAATTAATTAAAATACTATTGACTATAAAGTGGAGGACAAATTATAAATGTAAATTATTAAAAATAAAAAAATCCAATGTGGGAATCAAGTGTTGTAACTATTCCGGGGACATCGTGGGAAAATTTCAAAAGCAGCTCTAAAGAACCTGGAAAACTTTATGTACAATTCAAGAAAATTTTTTAAAGTGTGCAGGTTAGATTTAAGTAGAAATAGTTCCTTAGGGATCGCATAAAAACCTGGAACGAATGCAATCTCCCTTACAAACTTATAAAATACAGTATTGGTCTTGATTGATAGATCGACCTTGTATGATACTCGGTTTTATCCGTTCACATTACAAAGGGAAAGCAATAATCCGACCAATGCCAATTCTTTCTCTAGCAAATACTTCAATTTTATTTAGATTGAGAAATGACTACGAGCTAAAAGGTTATTATTATTATTATTATCATCAAAGAATTAAAATAAATTTTAGAATGGTAGAGCGGACACAAAAGATGAACCGTTATGTTTTCCTTTATGGGAAGTTATGCCCTCTTTGTGAGTCTGTGTTTTATACATATGCAACTACGTTAATAAAAAAAAAAAAAAATTTCAATTTTTTTTCTCAACTTACCACTCGATCTAGTGGGTAAATTTCTCACACAAATAGCAAGAGGTCGGCGATCCTCAGAATAAACGGCAAGAGTTGATGATGCTGTTTGCTGAGCGGGTGGTGCAACAGTTGACGGTATTGATATTCTCGCAGATCTGGGAGAATCCGAACGAGTACTGGAATCGGAAGATGGAGGACTCCCGGTCGTTGAACGAGTCGGGGATCGGGATCGACTCGACTGAGACCCTGACCGAGATTCAGAGCCCGAACGAACTTTTTTCGCTTTCCCAGTTCCATGTTCTTCGGATGAACTTATGTAACGAACGGTGCTCGTGTCGTATACCCAATTCCTTCGATTGTTAGAACAACCTCCCCTGTAAGCGAAAGAGAGAGAGAGAGAAAAATAAAAAAAATAGAAGTTAAACTTTAATAATAATAATAATAATAATAATAATAATAATAATAAAAATAAAGTTTTCGAGTAACTAATAACAAGGGCAAACATGAGTGAAAGGGTTAATATCGATTGCACGGAAGCATGGCGAGTTTCATCTATATTGAGACGTGATGATGAGAAATAACGAACGGGGTCGAGGGACAAAAAGGGAGGTACTTTCGCCCACACAGAAAATCAATAATTCGCAGCTCCAACCAGGGTTGCCATTTAGAACATTCAAAGATATATATATTGTTTGTTTGTTATTTCGTGTGTATTATTATTATTATTATTTTACTTCGTGTGAAACATCAATGATTTTTTCGTGTTTTCTTTTAAACAAATATAAATAATAAATTCCCTTTAACTGATTTTTTTTTTCGTATTGCGTCTTGATTTAGAAACGTGATTTCAATGAAACTTGCTTGAACCATACAATTAGGACAAGGCAACAAATTCCATTTCTCAATGAAATTTTTATTCGCAAAGTTTTTGTTATTTTTTTGTTATTCTTTTCATAATATTTAATTTAAAAAAATTTTTTTTTTTTTTTTTTGTCAATAATCAAAAATAATTCTTTTTTCCTTTTTATTAAAAATTCAAACCAAAAACTATTTTCATAGTAAATAAATCCTACTTCTATTTAAGATAAGAAAAAATATAAAGAAAAATTAAAAATTCATATATCAAATGCGTGTGGGATGTCGTCTGTACTAGGTCATAATCATTTAAATACAGTTTCCCCCACCCCGCACTCCCCCCCCCAACTGCATCAACCAATTATAAATTTTAATTCTGTAAACATATACAACTACCAAACGCTAACCTTTTTTCTTTTTTTTTTTTTTTTTCACTAAAAAATAATTTAATAATTAAAAAAAAAGGAACAAGAAAGAAAGGGCCTAACCTTTCCGTTCCCGATGTATAAGGTGGTCCGTTCCTGTACGATCTATCTCTAGGTCGTCCCCTCAATGGATCGGGCGGAGTGTGATAAACACTTGATCTTCTTAAATATCCATCCACTTCGGAACGGGTTCCGGGAGTTGGTAAAGGCGTGCCAGGAGTCGAAGTACCCCGCTCGTAAAAATGACTAGTTCTTTCAAAGGTTGAATGATCATCAGCAATGCTACAATAACAAAACAAAAAAAAAAAAAACAAAAATGAATATTGTTCGTCGTATTTATGCAAGAATTTTTATATTTTCCTCTCCCCCCCCCCCCTTTGTGTTTGCATATAATTTCCCTAGGGAACAAGACTACCACTTTTGTTTTAATACTATAAATAAATATATATACACACACACACACACACACACAAGCATGTATCCATGTTTTTTTTTTTTTTTAAGGAGAAACCAATATAAAATTATTATTATTATTATTATTTCGTTACTACTCTTTAAATGTAATTCCTAGAAAATAATATCAATTTTCCTATATATATGTTGAAGGTCATATTTATTATACACACATTTGCTTTACCTTTTTAAAAATATTTTGTCGACTCGGAATACTATATTATATATATAATAATTTAACCTCTACCACTACTACCACCACTACTACTACTACCACCTTTAACTTACACAATGTTTTCGATTATGTAAAATTAAACAATGGGGGGATTTAAGGGGACAATTTGTTTGACAAAATTTTTTAATATCAACACGGAATTTATTTTCAAGTTCTACAAAAACGTAATAAGTGTAGTAAAACGTATTTATTAATCCATCCATGTTTTTTATTATTATTATTATTATTAAATTAAAACTCCTAAAATTAATCATTTTTTAAACGAAAACAAAAAACAAAATGTAGAGAGAGAGAGAGAGAGACCTTCAAATTAAAACTTTTTAAAATTTTTACGACAAATAAACTACAATAATTTAATTAAAAAATTGAAACGAGGCGTGCGTGCGTGCGTGCTTGTTCCTTACAATTTCAGGTACGTACAAATTTTTATAAAACCTAAAAAAAAAAAAAAAAAATGCAAAACATTATACGCTAAAAAAAAAAAAAAATTAAAAATTAAAAATTAATCATGTAAAAACAAAATGTCCTTATTTTAAATAATCGAGAGTTAAACAAATTTTACAATACCATAATAATAATAATAATTTTCCCCGGAAAAAAAATTTTCTTTTAAACTGGACTCGATTATAAAAGGATCAGGTACACAATCAGTTACATAAAAAAAAAAAAATTGACTTTTACGTTATTTATCCAATATAGTTATGTAAATATTAAAAGTTTTCTTTTATTTTTCATTCACTACTGCATACATTATTATTTTAAAATACAATAATAATAATAATAATAATAATAATAATAATTTATCAAATAATTAATAAATATATTTTTATGCAATAAAATTACATAATTGTTGTTGTTGTTGTTGAAAAAAAAAAAAAAAAAAAAAATTTATTTATTTATTATTATTAATATTTAAAACTTTGCATTTATGTATATACCACATAACATTTTTATTATATAAAATTAATTTTATAGTTTTAGATGCACCGGATTTGACTTCCCCCCCTCCCCTCCCTTCTTATTTTCTAACTAGAAAGTGCCACGACAAAATCCACAAAAAATAAATAGATCCCTACATAATTAAATAAATAAATGAGTAAACTAATGTTTCCAGCACAATCAATAACGAATTCAATTTTTATAATATTATTCAAAGTGAATATTTTGTTTCTACAAGAAAAAAACTTAATAAAAAACTAATAATAATAATAATAA